AGCCTTGGAAGACAACTGAACGTCATTGACTGCGTTCCTTTCAATACAGCATTCTGAACATGAAGACAAATAATTTGATTTTGAGTATTTTGACTGACTGAGTTTAGTTTTCGCCGGTAAAGTGCCCATGTGGGGAATAAACGAAGTAACATAAACGAAAACCGAGGTAGCCACCGAAAACATATCTAAATATTACATATGTAGAATTAAGCGGCTTTATTTCTAACTTATGTCGAAACATTCCGTAGTCCAATTATTAATGGGTATATGTGCAAGAATATAACTGAATGAGTAAGTGAGTTTGGTTTCATGTCGTTTGAACGTATATCAGGCAACTTTAAGTCAATATTCAACGCGCAGGTGTTCTCGTCAGATATGCTGTAATACGCTTTTCGGAGCTGCGTCCCGTGGGCAGGACAGAATCATATGATCGTAGGTTCGAATCCCTGATATTTTTATATTTTGGGGTTTTTTTATCCATGATTTTTCAATACCTTCTGCTCGTGGGTTTCGTCCATATGGCAAATAATATTGCTTGATAAGCATGACCTCCATTTCGGCTTGCCACCAACGTATAAACGTGAGAATTTGTAAGACAATTAAAACGTAGTCTGTTCATGTCTGTTTGGATTAAATCCGACTCACTTACTGAAAACTATTGCTTGTTGAAAGTGCAAACTATGGGATGTGTTTTGGCGTTTATTTTACAGATATTAACATGCTTGCACAGAATGTTTGTCGTCATAGCTCATCTTTGCTCTTTTACTTTCTGTCAACATTTATATTTCACGAGGCCTTTCTTGTTTAGATGAATATACAATAAACCTCTGTTAGTTCCCCGTCAAAATGTATGGAAAGGGACCACCGGCGCTTTCTTTTTTGTCCGTCTCAAACTAAAACAGTACAAAGAGTGCCATCAAGGCTAATAATAACACGGTTAGTATTTGTGGAATACTAACATCTTTGATAATATGTTGGTAATTTGCAATCCTTCACTCTTGTTTGTGTTCAAAGAAACTTTTATCCTGTATTCAAGTAGGCGTCCGTTTGTATCAGCGTGAGAGTGGCCATAAAGAAAATAACACAGACATCGTCAGTATGTATTCTGGCGCCTTACGAAACGGATCGAAAGGACTTAAGTTATCAAGGAAATACGTCAATGTGCGAAAACAACACAATGGCTAAGTCGTGCCAAAGAAGATTGCTTTATCGGGGGTGGAGGGACGGTGGGACTGTTATGTATTTAATCAATATGAATGGAGGTACCTACTTTTTTAGGTCAGGAAGGACTTCATTTCCTTCATTTACATGCAATAGTAAAGAATAAACGTAAGGAAAGATTGAATACCGGATGTCGTTGTTCATACATGTCTTTATTCTTCAGGTGACAAGCGTTATTTATAACTATCAACTTATGGCGTATTTCCGTGATTCGGTGACATTGGTTAAGAATATTCAAAGGATGTATAGTATTCCCACAAATTATTGAGAAAATTGTTAATATATGTATATAAACTATATAAGTGTTATTGAGATATGACTCTCTTACAGTCTAAGTGTCTTTTCAGTACTTTGTGAGACCTCCTTGCCCTGCAATACATGACTGAATGCGCCTAGGTACACTACCGATCAAAGTTTGTAGGAGATTGTGTGACAGCGTATCCCAATATTCGACCACGGTTTTCTTCATATCCTCAATATTTCTAAGTCCTTTTTTGGTTTATTCTGTCCTTCATTAGTCCCCACACATTCTCAATGGGGTTAAGATCTCGACTGTAGCTGTAAACTAAAACTGGAACATTTTCGTCCGACAACCACTGTTTTGTGTAGCCCGCAGTGTGCATACCAAACGAAGAATGTACAAAATGGTTAATGGTAATTACTTTCTTGGAAATATTTGCTTGATGTTGTTTTCCCGAGAAATCGGAAATTAAAGATAAACATGTTTTTTTCGTAGGAATTGATTTAATAGCGATGTGCTGCTTATGAGCGTTTGGCGATCTAAAACGTCTTTATCAATGAGGCAAGAGTTCATTTGCCATAATGCTTGAAGGATGGTACAAGTGTATAACACACTGCTCGATGTTGTGTGACCGTTTTTCTTTGAAATACGTTTTTCTTAGGGAAAGAGTCGAAGAGGATTATAATAGTTTGAGTGAGTGAGTGAGGGGCTTTTAACAATTTTCAATAATATTCGACTAATTCCACAACAGGGGACACCAAATATGGGCTCCAGACATATTGAGAAACGAACCCGTCCTCCTGTGGGACGAGTGAACGCTTTTGACAAGAAACGTCCTCACAGTCCCCGTTAATATGAACATTTCTATGTGAACGTTGGTCATTTTGGGATACGTACACCATTTGTAAGTAAGTCAGGAATATCAAGCGAAGTTGTTTTGTGGATTGAGACGAGTGGGCTACTTGAAACAGTAATTTTCCCATATCTGCCGGAAAAACGAAATAAATATATACCACCCGCCAGAATAACGTGGTCCCACTGTCAGAGTGTGAGACTGAGATATGAAATCAGAGTCTCTGTGTAACAGTAAACACCAAACTAGCCACAATATCCTGCTGATTGTGAACATTATGTTGTGGTCTCTCACTTGAATAATTCATTATCTCGTGATCATGGACGACAAGAGTCATCGTAAGAGTTATAGCTCTGTTGAAGACAACACATGTTTAAGTGTGACAGATGTTCCCGGGATATATCATGGAACTGGCCTGGAACTGACGGAACCTCAGCAGTAATGCAGATTAAACAAAGACCTCGTGAACGATATCTAGGACGATGAATATCGATTAAACAGTTTAACCTTGGATCTTTTATTAATATATTTATCCATTGACACTATTAGAGGCGTGTTACAGTGTTTCAGAAGTCATTCAGACGTCTGATACATAATTAACACGGGGAATTTGTTTTTTTTAAATAGTCTTTTAAATAACTTCTTATTTTCAGTCATCCATTAAGTTACTTTTTTCAACGCAATCTGTCTGTAAGCCAAACTGAATCGATATATATCTTTCATAATTAGTTCATAAATTATTCATAATACCCCGGAATAAATCCCAAGTGAAAAGCGTTCAGAAAAGGTCAGTATTGCCATGTAATAAATTAATACCGATCCATTCTTTCATGTGTATCCTTGAACTATGCATGTAGACCATCTGTTCTATAGGTATGAAGCTGCCGTGATGTTTCTGGAATAAAGCGGCGTAAAACCAAACCTATGGGTATGAACCATCCCAGTCAGTCTATAGGTATGAAGCGGTAAAACTGTTCTATAAAATACCATTTTAATTTCGATGGAATTTTAAAATTAATAGTTCTGTAACGAAAGCGGCATTGCTAACTGATTGAAAATAGACAAAAATGAAATATTATAAAAATGTAGATGTCTCAGATGCAGGTGTCTCGTCAGCTTCCCAACACTACTGTAACGATCTCTTCTATTCCATTCATTAAACATTTATATCGAAATATGGAATTTCAAATGAGAATCGGGAATTGCCATGAATCCCAGTTGGATCATTAAAGGATAATGTTGGTGGTATGTGATTGTGTATCCCGTTAGGATGAATTCTCGCGTCCTGCAGTTTCTCTTCCTTGTATCAATACAATTATTTATTCCTCATTGTCTTATATCTGTGCCTTGCACTACGCGTTAGCTGCCAAGTTGAAGTCTGTGGTCTAGACGTTGAATGGCATGGTATCGGTATGAGAGATTATATTTATTTTGTTATCCTGCAATCGCGTACAGTCCAGTCATATCACGACCTGTAAGTAATATAGACTGGGTGGGTAAACCAGCGGATGATGTCATGACCACCTCCAACCTCGTTACGTACAGCCACGCGTTTTGTATGAAGTCACGGTTCATTTAGTTGCTTCAGACAAGTGTGGGTGGTTGGATGTCTCCTAACCCCCAGGTGCTCGAGTGACTAAGGTCAACTGTCTGGCAGATACGCGCCATAATATTTGAGTTGGTATGGAATGAATAAAAGACTTGCTAAACCATTAACCATCTTTTAAAACACATTTATTAATGATGATTCTAGATACTCCAACGCTTTCGGGTATTTTTCATTCACGATATCCCTGGAGCACCCATCATACATTACAGCCCTGTTATCTACCATACTCTACTAGTACGCGCCATTTTGTGACTAGAAATGCAGTCTGGGCTGTTCCTCTGCTGTAACAGTAAAGTAAAGGGTGAAACCTGTTAGACGGGACAATTCTAAGTTCGGACAACTGCATTTTCCGAACACCTACTGTTGGGATCCTTTTAGTCCTTTAAGTTCAATACATTCACAACTTTGGGCAAAATTATATTTATTGTTATAATAGGAGTTCATCAAATAGTTACAAGTAGTCTCAACTCGCTCCATACACTCTACAAGTAGTCATATTGGCAGTCTCAACTCGCTCTATACACTACATATAGTTCTGGTGACAGTCTCAACTCGCTACATAAACTACATATAGTTCTACTGACAGCGTCAACTCCCTACATAAACTACACAGAGCCAGATTGATTGTCTCAACTCGCTCCATACACTACATATAGTTCTGGTGACAGTCTCAACTCCCTACATAAACTACACATAGCCAGATTGACTGTCTCAACTCGCTCCATACACTACATATAGTTCTGGTGACAGTCTCAACTCGCTCCATAAACTACACATAGCCAGATTGACTGTCTCAACTCGCTACATACACTTTATACAGTTTTGTTGACAGTCTCAACTCGCTACATAAACTACATATAGTTCTACTGACAGTGTGAACTTCATCCATACACTACATATGGTTCTGTTGACAGTTTCAACTCGCTCCATACACTACATATAGTTCTGTTGACAGTCTCAACTCGCTACATAAACTGCATGTAGACCTACTTGTCTAAAACAGGAACACAAACCGCCATATTTGCAGTTTCAAATAGTGGCATACACTCGCCCTACTAGCACTAACAAAACCTTACCTGCAGAAATAGGCTGACTCTCTTGACACGCCCGATCTGGGAGGGGTGTCGGGTTGGTGGACGCTTATTCTCAACGACCCGGTAGCAACATCAGTTTGTTTTTTCTTCTTCTTTCTTATGGATGAAAACGCGCGTCGGAGAACGCCAAGATTGGCCTTTACACTTTCAACGTTTGTTTCAGTATCCTCCGTATCGAATTCCGTCTCCATAATTGATCTTCCACTTGGGCTGTAAGACCGTCGAAACATACTGGCTGTACGGGAGATTTAATAAATACAGTTCAAGGAAGGAAACGGTTCTCCGGCGATTGTGCAACTTGCTGTTGTGAGAGTGTGTAACCTGTGACTTCAATTTCAGTCCTTTACAACTTGAAGTATATCTTAGTCAGTTTAATAGTCAGTTCTGAACGCCGATCAATGCTGGGGATTGAGAAGCGTTCCTCAAGCAAGAACAATAAATGTGTAACGGCAGTAGTAGCAGCGCTCACCGTTTGCCACCGTTCTACATATGGCACTTCGGAAGAGGAGGTAAGTATTCACTGTACATCACCCTCATATGGAACCACCTTTCTTCTTGGATCTGAACAAATCAGAAATTCTCAACACTGGAGTAGAAAATGAAATATGAATACTCAGCTAAGACAGGTGGAAATCATGCGTAGGTGTACACAATTCACGAATACTCGCATTGGTCAGTTTTCCCAGACATGGGTTGCACGAATAAATTCTTAACATCTGACCTCTGTAAGGTAATCAGACTGGTGAGGCATTTGTATACAGAGTGTGTCCCCGTATCCAGAGTCTATGGTGTGGAGAACGCTGGTATACAGTTATGTATTGACGACACCATGTTTTGATATCTGTGTGTGACGTCAATGCACGACGTATCCACCAGCCTTGGAATAGCTGCAGTGTCAATGATAACAAGTTACTTTCTCAATCCCATATACAAACACTGGATAGGAAAACCATGAGGGTATCTCAGCACGCTTCCACAATAATATGGTTTCAGACACTCTTCACAGATGATGAGGCATTATCGGTCAACTGTCCATTCACCTGGATTCCTCTGAGCTCTGGCAACTCACTCCAAAACATTCGCCAGGAAACATCACATATAACCCTGGGTGTACGGACTGCACGGAAGATCAATGTATGTAAATACGCGAGTGGTTTGAGCAACAGCCATCTGAATAGCGTTGACTTAACAGATCTTCCACAGAACTGACGCTTTTGGTCCGAGCGATTAGGCGCGTCAACAAGGGATTTCTGGAGAGGCCAGTTGTGTTGTATTTGTCTGCTCAATGCCTCTGATAGTCTGCTTCAAAACACTGGCATACGCCACAGTATCCTTCAATCAAGTAATGATTACATGCTAACTCCCATTCCACAAATGAAATCTTCGATTTCGCGGACCGCAGTGTAGTTTGTACCAGGGGCTACTGTTATAAAATCCCAGATAATTAGTGTGATCACAAGGTCAGGCACTCCAAATGTCCTTCAATGATTTCGACCAGCTCCGAACACAGGCGGCAAGAATGACGACTTTACTATCGGAGCAGACGACACTTTCCCATAGATGAGTGGACCTATATTAACGCCATAATGAGGCCACGAGCGAGCGGAGAACCACGCATGGCATTTCCGCGCCTTCACGTGCGTCTGAAGGACTGTGTTTATCGACCATGTGCTCGGGAGCAAGGCCAGCGTTTCTCAACCCTAGAGATGTCAGACCAAATTTCTATTCCAGGTCTGAAGAGTTGATTCGTCCATGACACAGCACACGCGTTTTATCCGTAATGCAGTTAGCTGATGTCCTAAATATTCACGTTCGAACTCACAATCCCTATTTGACACCGATAGGCGAATAAGCAATCAAGGCTACCGCAAGCGACACCAGTTTATGAAGCCACACCATTGAGGGATCCTGTCCAATTAAGCGACCTCATCCAGCCTTGAGGAACAGAACTGCAGAATCACACCTGGCGTCAGTTAATAATGATAGACCCACGGGGCAATGATTATCCTCAATGTCTATATAGGATTAGTGTTATTATATGAAGGTACATTAACTAAGACGGAATATACACCCCAAAATATATCGACAGAGATCGAGCGATTACTAAACGGGTTCGTAGCAAAATGTTTGCAATGTCATGGTGGTACGTGTCCAGTTGTTAAACTACATTGCATAATCCTTTCGTGAGAAATACAGAATGATCTGCAGATGTGTTAGTACAAAGCCTATTGATCTTCTACTTCACTGTACTAGACCAATGTATGGCAGGTGGTGACATTATAATATTTGGACATGGTCTTGTCGCGTAAATATACACGCTGATGTGTGTTTTACATTTTTCAGCAAACGTTTACATGTTTTATTAACATTTTTCAAGCAAACCAGGAACAATAATATTAGAATATTTGATGATTGGTGTTGATATCATTTCCAAATAAAATGTATTTATATGTGTTTAGGGCTATTTTTAAGAGAAACGACATGAATTCTAAAATTGTTCGGTAGAGGGTCCGAGTTTTATTGAGTCCTAAAACAATGTTCACTTCACTCGTCCTAACAGGATATTAATTCTGTCTTTATTTTGGTCCTGCGTTCCTTATAGGGAATATCTAACCCGGTTTGACCCCCAGGGTTCATTATCTAAAGACTTCTTCATTTCACCCTCTATGACATAACTGGAATGTTGCTGAATGAGACGAAACCCAGTGACACATAACAGAAGGTACCCACGTACTCCACAATGAACGCATTCACGCTTTGCCGTAACGACATAAGACCCGCATCCGTAGTTGAACCGGAAGAGCCGAAGTATGGCCGACAATTGATAACACGGTGTCGTGCTTACTGGCTTGTACTCGGTGGCTTCCTTCTAGCACGTATATAGTGTAATAAGTGTATAACCAGCGTCTCTCTCTCCCCCCTCCCCCACGCGTCATCTGTATACAATACGCCCATAGACGTCGGAAAGCATGAACGTTTCGCTTTTTCTATAAAAAATGTTTGCTCATAGTGTATTAATGTCAATAAATCCTTTGTTGCTTAAACGAGACAGGGAGAATTATTATGTATTGTGTTAATATCAGTTCGATCCTTAAAACAGAGAGCAATGGCTTGTAGATAGTCCCTTGGCGTCAGCCGTTGTATTTAAGCCGGGGCTTTGCCTTGCGAAGACAGAGTATTACATGGAAAGAGGGCAATGCATATATATCGCACGTCGGGGAACCAGCGCGATCTTGTATTCTCTGGAGGATGAGAAAAATTGGAAATTGTACATCTTGTGAAAGCATCGATCCTTTCTTGGCTCTGTACAGCTGTGGAGATGCGGTACTCTGCGTTGTCGATCGCAGTGTTGGAGTAATGTACAACGAGCCGATGGCGCAAGAAACGCCATGCCGTGTCTCTTAAGAGCTTCCGACGACGCGAAAGATTTCGATCTGTTAGACAGCGTTTTAAAAGATAGAGCATTCACACATTTACTGTGATCAACAAAACAGTAGTTTGCTGTGACAGTGAAGAGACACTGTCTCTTATTATTCAACTTAGTTCTTCAAATGAGCAATGCTTATGGGCAACCCCACTACGTCTGTCTCGACAAGGCATTTCGGAAATGTAAACATCCAACTCTCCTTTGTGTAAGAGGGTATCATTCTTTTCAAGCATCTGAAATATAAACTAGGAAAATCTACTAAGTAAAGGCGCTATTCGTGAAAAGTGCTTCCTGAATGTCACGCCATTTAAAGAGGATATTGTCAGTTTGTTCATCATGACATTTAATATGAATTAATTTGAAACAATCTTATTAAAGGAGCGGGGGTGGAGTTGTTACATATTTTAGCAATTTTTCAGAAATTCAATAGAAATGAGAATCAAATCCGTTACTGGCGTCTTAAAACTATACTACGGTAACAGTATGGTTTCTGCTTCCGCATATGATTTAGCTCATGTGCTTGGTTCTGCTGTTCTACAGCTTCGTGCTTAGGGTTCCAGGTTTACAACATGGTTTTACGAGCACAGTCCTATAAATAGAACTATAACATATGTTTTGTTTGTTAAAACAGCAAAGCAATATTTCAACTGTGTGACTGCAGTGTGTACAGACTCGTATCTGGATCACACAGTTTAGTGATTGATGTTTGAGCAACATCACAGTGTTGGTACGATAATATGTAATGCTAAAATACAGCAAGCTCAACCAATACAACAGATGTGGGGGACGTATTCTCAGGGACTAGCCATAAAGATATTCTGAGTTGAGGGTTTGAGTTTTTGTATGATATAGTCTCACAGAAATATATTCTTCACTTGATATCATGGCAATTATTTAGAGTCTAAAGCCTTGACCGAAACAGTTCTCAGACATAGTGCTGTCATCATTTGCATACCAAAGCTGTGTTCCTGGCAAAGCTAAACACATCAATGCCAAAATCTCAGCTGTTGGACCTTCATTTTCCGAATGTTGTTCAATTACTTCCTTAGGCAAGATCCGGGTTAGAATATTGGCCTTCAGTAACCCATGTTTGTCGTTGGAGGCGACTAACGGGATCGGGTGGTTAGGCTCGCTGACTTGGTTGACACATGTCATCGTATCCCAATTGCGTAGATCGATGCTCATGGTGTTGATCACTTGATTGTCTAGTCCAGACTCGATTATTTACAGACCTGCCGCCATATCGCTGGAATATTGTGACGTTAAACACCAACCAACCTTTGGCAAAGTCGAACACATTCTCAGTATCAAACTCAGAAACACAGACATAGAGCTGTCATATTTATCATTAAAAAAGCTGTTTTCCCAGCAAAACCAAACATATTCTCAGTATCAAACTCAAAAACACAGACATATAGCTGTCATATTTATCATTGAACAAGCTCTGTTCTCGGCAATGCTAAACACAAAAATGACAAAATGTCAGTAGTTGGACATTCATTTTCCTAATAGTGGCTCAGTTACTTCCTTTTGCGTGCATTCATTGCACTACACTGATCACACAGGGAGACTATAATTAAGGTTCATTTTCTAAATCACATGTCTTGAATCTACAAGAATTAATATCACCCATTCTTTGTTTAACCTTTTTCTGGAAAATGTAGGTGTAATGAAGCACATGTACAAGAAAAGGTTTCTTAATGGAAGTCATTAATCTTCATTCTCTTGTTCAAAATCTCATTTTATATGGAGTCAGCTTTCATCCATTCATTACTTGCGACAGGAAAGAGACAGGATATTTCATTAGGATAAGCATATGTATATCAAGAGCTTCCTGGCGACACATACATCATCTTATAAGCAGGTGAGGTGAAACGGCGTTCATGTTTATAAATTACGCTTATATAACGATGCGTATGTGTGAGAGAGAGGGTGTGTGTGTGTGTGTGCGTGCGTGCGTGTGTGTGTGTGGTAGGGGAAAGGATTGGTGGGTGTATGTGCTATAAGAAAAGTATCATGATACTTTCTGGATGACAACGTCTTTATTATACACGTGGAAAAAATATCGCAACATCCTGGCACTTATATATTTCTGTCAAAATCTTAATAATTGCTATATAAAAACATTATTGGCTTCGTGTAAATGAAAAGTGTTTTTAGCACTTTGGCTACAACAGAGTGTCCTGTGAAGACGCACATGACATATAAACTGTGATTAAATATAGGCCCCGTCATAAAACTCGGGTGTTTCGATACTTTTTTCCATCCGTATATTATGATGCAAGGTTTCGGTTTAGTTTCTTATACCGTTGTCAAGCAAGAGTGCCAGGTGAAGCATGAACATCGATTCTTTAATTACTGTTCATTACCAAAATCACATGTCTTTGAATGTATATAAATCCATATCATTCATTTGTTTTTAACTTTTCTGAAAAATGTAGGTTTAATAATGAATTGAATGGTCCATACTCGATTAGTTACAAACCTTCATTAGCAACATCACTGCTCGGTGCGGCGTAAAACAACAAACAAACAGACATAAACAGCATCAGGCCTAAATGATGCTGAAGCCCTTACATATCTTGAAGAAATATGTGTTCTAACTTTTTTTTCCAAAAACGTAGCAACGAATTGCTTCAGTAGTGGATTCAAAGAAGTCAAAGAAGCCTGTGTTTTCTACAGCTGGTGTTCAAAATAGAATCAAAGTTTAAAAGCTCCATCTCACACTATTTACTTCGCCATCTTGGATTTCAAATGGCCACAAATTCAATGGATATATGGAATATGTATGTCCTAATATCTGAGCACAGGAAAAGGAACCGCAGAATAAGGTTATGTTTTGCTTCATGACAAAGTGGAATAAATAACATGAAAGCCTTGGCAGATATGTTACGATCTCCCCAGACTCATAAATGCGTTTTTGTCATCTCCCATTTGTGTAAATAGAATCAAGAAATAAGAGACTTTCTGTCAATTAATGGAGATTACGGTTACAAATCCACCTATAATGTAACGCAGTGTGTTGTATCACTGAAGCCAAGGACAAACAAACAGAGACAACAGGTTGGCAAGGCGATGTTTAAAAGCAGAAATCAATATCCAGAGACTTCATG